GGGCTGGAAATGAAGAGCTTATGAGGAAGCAAAATGGAAAAATCGAACCAAGGGTAAATGGGGATTAATAGGTCCTTGAAGGGTTCAGGAAGACTTGTCCGGAGTTCCAATGCATACGCACAGGGAAATAGGCTCCTTGTAGAACTCATGATAAGGTTCCCATTCACCTTCCCAGGAATACAACAGAGTCACTGCTAAAATTCTGGTCGTTTTTTTTTTTGGGAGAACGAAATGTATTCATAGGCAAATCAAAAAGATGCCCATAAAATGTTTTTTTCCTTAGAGTATAATGAAAAATTAAATATTTATTCTAAAAGTCGTCATGAAAAAGGCAGATTTTTTTCATCCTCATTTCCTGCTGGGGTTTTGCAGATCCCCGTAGCAGGACTGCTCCCCGGAGTCATGGTCCCTCCCCAGTCAGTCCCATGGCCGGAGTAGGCACTGGAAACAAGGGGAAGACGTGAGGCTCCTCAGTGCACCTTGAGCAGTGGGAACGGCAGCGAGGTAGGAATTTCTGAACTTGGGTTACATTTGCATCTTGGATCCTCAGCTTTGACATCTGAATTCAGGTCACGAAAACACCATTTGCGCTGTGTTATTTGCAGGATGAGATGGGTAACACATGTTGAACCTCTGCCATTGTGTCTCGTTCATGTGGGCACTCCCCCAACCCCTAGTCCGAGAACCACCCCCCCCCCAGTGAAGGTAGAGACCAGGTCTCTCTTGATCACTCCTGTGCCCCAGAGTCTCTGCTAAGTACATGTTGGATTAAATTGATGCCTATTGGTTGTATATTTAGGAAGATGCGACATCAGTTTTCTGTTTATTCTAAAGCAGCTTGTGTCAAGCAAATGCTCTTCTAAAGATACTAAATTTGCCCGTAAGTCTCCTGAAAGATCCTGATGATAGGGTAAAATGACCAATCACACTTAATGACAGAGATGTGTTCGGGGTGGGGGGCAGTGACAGAGAACTCTCTTCCACAAATGGTAGTCTGAATTAACATTATCTAGAGACCACTCTCTTTTTTTTTTTTTTTAACATTTATTTATTTATTTTGACAGAGTTAGCAAGAGCAGGAACACAAGCAGGGGGAGTGGAAGAGGGAGAAGCAGGCTTCCTGTCAAGCAGGGAACCCGATGTGGGGCTCGATCCCAGGATCTTGGGATCACGACCCAAGCTGAAGGCAGACCCTTAATGGCTGAGCCACCCTGGCGCCCCTAGAGACCACTCTCTTAATCAAAAAACACTTTAAGTGACCAGTTACATGTGGTCTTTGGAGGATGAGGCCAAGTAGCAAGAACAAATCCTTTGAACCTTGTTCTTTTTTTTTTTTTTTTTTTAAAGATTTTATTTATTTATTTGACAGAGAGGAGACAACGAGAGAGAGAACACAAGCGGGGGGAGTGGGAGAGGGAGGAGCAGGCTTCCCGCAGAGCAGGGAGCCCGATGTGGGACTTGATCCCAGGACCCTGGGATCATGACCTGAGCCGAAGGCAGACGCTTAACGACTGAGCCACCCAGGCACCCCGAACCTTGTTCTTTTTTTGCATCTGTCCCCAGAAGAAAATGACATCGTGAAATTTTCTAGGCTTTGCTTAAAACCATGGCAATTTTGCTAAATGCCATCCCAGTTTCTGCTTGCAGATACCTCTTCCCAAAATCCTTCCCTGGTGTGAGTGATACATGAATACAGCAGAGAGGCACTAATAAGAGATACAGTGTGAACAGATGAGATTTATTGAGGGCTACGGTAGCAGATTGGAGAGGTGAGAGGTGAGGAACCGGTATTCCAGGGGAGTAGTGATATCCAAGCAGAACCCGGCTGATCGGTGAGCTACCTTGTTCATTGGATTCTGTCAAAAGTCTGGCATTGAAACTATAGTTCTTCATAAAGGATAAAACACTAAAGCTTTTTTGAGAGTAAGTTACTCTCCAAAACGCCAAATCTTTCTGCTGTGTCAGCATTTTACAATTTTTTATTTTGTTTTGTTTTGGGTCTGACTTTCCCTTTCACCAGATTAAATACTTCTGAGCCCTTTAAGGATTATTGTAATCATTCTTTCTTCTTTTTGCATAATCAATAAAAACATTCCCAACTATTTTATTAGTGAGTATAGAAATGGCCATCTTAGGGTGTTATTTTCATACTCTTGGACTATATTTATAATGTATAATTAACTTTTAATAAATACTGCACACTCTTTAGTTGAGTACCAAAAATATAGGAAAAAAATCATGATTTTGTCATAAATCTATAAGTATTAGACCACTTTTAATTTAGAGATTGAAACCGGAATAAAATACAGATTTAGTTTAACTATGGATTATGACACACAGTGAACAAAAACCGTCTTCATTTACTGTTTGGGCACTTTCAGTTTTCAACGGAAAAATCAGTTAATGGTGATAATTTTCATGTTTTATGTATAAATACAGAACACGCTGGAAGGTATCAGACTGCTATTTGTAATAATTCACCTACAAGCAAGACATTCCAGATGCTGGTAGCTTTAATTCCCAATACATAAAAAGCTAAATCAGTTGTAATTGTCACAGTGCTTTCTCTTCAATGTTTTCTTTCTTATCAGGAACCTTCTGCTGGCCTCTATTGAGAACATATGCGTCTGACCTACAGAGCTGATGGGGAGCCTCTTAAGGCACGGGTCTGAGGGTCTGAGCTTGGGTTGCCATGACAAAATACCACAGACTGGCTGGCTTAAACACACAGGGGTTTATTTCTCACAGTGCTGGAGGCTGGAAGTCAAGAGCAAGGTTAGCAGAACTGTCCCAGGTAAGGGCCCCCTTCCTGACTTTGAGATGGGCACCTTCTTCCTGTGTCTGCACATGGCACAGAGAAAAAGCGCAGTTCTCTTTTTCTTCTTAGAAGGATGTTAACGCCATCATGACACCCTCATGATCTTCTCTAAACCTAAATACTGCCCAAAGGCTCCATCTCCAAATACCCTCACATTGGGGGTTAGGGTTTCAATATATGTATATGGGAGGAATACGAACCCTCTGGCCCTAAGAGCGGGGTTGTAGGAGTGCTTTGGCTTAGACAAGAGGGGTCCCAGCTCACTCAGAAGCCAGACTAGGGTAAGGTCCTAGGGGCATGGCAGGCACGTGAGGGTTGTGCAAGTCCCAGAGCCCAAACCCTCCCTTCCAGGTGCTACTGAGTGCTTGAGACCCAGAATTTCCTGCCCGGACAGCCTGCACATCTGCTTTTGGAGCCTGTGTGGCCCTTTCCCCAGCGCACCCATCCTGACCTTGAACTGCACCGCCATTATGGAATGCTCTAGTCAAGAGATGGCCAAGGGGTGGCTGTTTGGATTGAGGTGGAGAAGTGGCTGCATCTCTCCAGGAGCTGGCTGGAGGCCACAGGCACGAATATGAGATGCAATCGAGGACAGAGAAGGGGGAGAGAAGAGCTGGCTCGAGGACCCCATGTTGGAGACCAAACTCTAAAAAGTACCAGAATTCTTCACGCACACTTCGTCTTGCAGGTTATGAAAAAGGTACAGTGGGGAAGGGGGGAGGAGAAAATGGATTTTATGTCAAAGGGTTGGGCTGCTGGGGGTCTGGGCTTCTCTTTGTACTCTGGTTCTTTCTTCACAAGTGTTAGGAGTGGATCTCTGACTACGTTATCTTCATGAATTTGCATTTTACTATCCGTAATTTTGATGCATCTTGTCTAATATTACAGATGTAAATTAAACAATACATGACCGAGAGGGGAAAAAACAGCTTTAAAGTGATGAAGTGAACATTGGTCTGAAGGGTCTTGGTAGCTGGCAGTGCTGAGCTGAGTGATAAACCACCTGAGTCCTCAGCTTGCTCTTTACTAAGGCCCATGCTGATTACTTTGAGCTTTGACAACGGCTCATTTTGAAAGGAAAATAAATACATGATAGTAATTTAATATATTAATTATTTCTTTGTCAGAGAGAGAGCATAAGCAGGGGGAGCAGGAGAGGGAAAAGCAAGCTCTCTGTTGAGCAGGGAGCCCGACCCAGGACCCTGGGATCCTGACTTGAGCCGAAGGCAGATGCTTAACGACTGAGCCACCCAGGTGCCCCAGTAACTTCATTAATTAACAAAATTTTTTTCTTTCTTTCTTCATTTGACAATAAACACATTTGCAACTAGTAGTGGAAAAACCGATCAAGTGACGTTACGAAGAGCTAAATCCAGCGCTCTCGTGCGCATGCGGTAAGCTACAAGGAATGGAAAAGGTTAAAGACATCAACTTTCTGGAGACAGACTTAAATTTTAGGAACTTGGCATGCAGATCAACACAAAGTTTTCCAATTTCAAAGCCTCCATAAAGGTATTTTGGCAAGGTTCATAAATATATGCTGCACAGCGTATTTCTGCGTTTTTGTATGTCGTATACCTTGTGTTCCCCTCATGGGCTGCTCCTCTGATGTCCTTGTCATAGGAACCTAACACTGTGCACTCTTATAAAGTGTGTACTGTTGTGTATGCATATTTTTAAAAACTTACACAAAGTTATGCATTTTTTTCCCTTGGCTTTTTCCACTTAATGTTGTTTTTAAGATCTGGTCATATTGCTGTTGGGATGGAGTTGATTGCTTCTAATTCCCACACAGTGTCCGTGGAACACATCCATCATTTTTTTTACTTACCCATTCCCTTGGTGGTGGGCATCTAGGTGGGCATCTCTGTTACCATATACAAAGTGTGACCCTAATGAACACATGCTATGTGATCCTTACCAAGCTGAGAATTTTGCTGAGGTATTTACCCATAAGTTATTGTTGACAGGGATTACATTATTTCGTTAAATACTGTGGGAGCGTTTTCTAGAACTGCTGAATCAACTTTAACTTCCAAGAGCTGTTTACCTGAGTGCTCACCTTTCCACATTTTCACCGGCACCTAGTATTGCCTCCTTTTCAAAATTTTGCCATTCTCATGCGCTCGAGTGGTCTCTGTATTGCTGTTCACAATCATTGCTGACATGAAAAAAGAATTACTAAGTGTTAGAAAATTACACGTTCCTTTCCCAAGTCATGCTGTGTGACTAATGACTTCTCTTATATAGTCTTGTTTTCACTGGCTACTGTAAAGCCTTCGATGTTTCTAATATTTTCTATGTATCTAGCTGCTGTGCAACAGGTACACAGAGCGTAACTGGGCAGTCTTGTGCTGGCCATGGTGGTGTCCATGATGTGTGTGTAATTTACAAAAGGGGCACTGAGCTCTGAATAATCACTGTTTCTTCTTCCAGTTGTTCTTCCCTTTTTTCCTGTACCCCTTCTCTTTCTATATTTTCCTTAAAGAAATGCCCATGTTACCATATGTACAAATTCACCCTGTTAATTTTGCCACGTTTCCCTGACTTTTTAAACATTTGTTGAGCTTTGCCACCAGAAGATTCCACAGCATCATTCCTCAGCGAGAAGCTGAGCTACTGCAGAAGAGGAAGCAGAGTCAAGGTAGGTGGTGAAACAATTCTGAGAAAATTTGCTTTAAAGAGAATATCGTCCTATGGCATTAAGGGGAAAAAAATGTGTCTAGAACATAGTTATTCACTTCTCAGAGATAAGTGCTTGGCTATAAAAGCACGAGCAGCATGATGGGCACCAAGTAAGAACTTCGAGGTTTCATTAGCATCTTTCCACCTCACTGGAGGTGAGACAGCCCCAGCATGTTCTCCAGGAAAAGGTTTGATGTGGAGTCAGAGAACTTGATGATGCAGCCAAATTGCCCATTTATGTTCAACTCTGGTTTTTCTGTTTTTATGTCCATGCCATGGGCTTTTAATTTGGATAATAAATATGCATGGCTTTCTTCTGGACTCTCTGCCTTTTGTGCTACTGCTAACACAGTTGGCTTGTAAGCTGTTTTTGTCCCAGAAGCAAGGCAGAGTTCTGAGGGTGGGTCGAGAAAAGAGGCCCGTGTGGGCGGGCCTGATTTTGAAACCTATGCGGACTCTGGAAGGCAAGAACCCCATCTGGGGGTAGTTAGGAGTTTGTGGAAGAATTCTTTAAAAAATGTGACATTGTACTAGTAGAATGAAATTTGTTCTCTGGAGGTTGATAGAGCTGCTTGACCTTGTGAACAAGGTTCACCAAATTGAAAGTATTGTCTCCATCTTTTTTTTTTTTTTTTTTACAATGGAGGCAAACATCCATTTCACTGTGGCTTCTCTTCTAGGCATTCTGGAGCTCCAGTGAGGAGAGCTTCACTGTAGGACAGAGACGGAATCTTGTTCCCTAGAAATGCATACCAAAGAGCCATAGTAAAGCTGCTCAAAGTGATTTGTGTGCCAGGATTCAGAATCTCATCTGTGCCGAGCCAGTTTATCACACTGACTCATGTGGTAGGTAACCTGCAACTTCCTTATTGCTAAATGGTAGTTCTCCACTAATAAAGAGCTTTCCCCCTTTGACCAGTATAGTAACATGGAAGGGGACAGCGAAATCTAGAAAAAGAAAAGCAGTTCTTTTAGGCAGATAAGAATTACCATCAATTATAGATTCATACCTCACTGGGGTAAGCATATTGTTTTGATAGTCTCAAGAAAAATTATTTTGTCTACCACATGTTGGGAGAACATCAGTATCAACCTTCTGCAAATACCTATAAAGCTCTGCTCAGCAAGAAGCACTTCTAGAAAACAAAACAAAAACAGCCAAAAGAAGCACAGAGTATAGGCAGTGTAGAATCTTCTTGAATCCATTTTCAGATGGTCTGTGAGGTTTTTGTCATGATGACTATAAAAGAAAAAAAGATTTCTCTTTGTGTTGCTAAATCAGAATTGCATGGGTGTCTGAATGAATGAGACAGGGTTTGCCTTACATGGCCTGAGGAGACATGGTTTCAGGGTGATGGGCGGGCTTCCTCCTCTGCTGGGTGGCTACTCTCCTCTGCCTCCATCTGGATTCAATTCTGGAGATTGAGAAATCCCATTCTTCCTTTAGTATGAATGTGTTGATCAGGTCGTTCCTTGAGACAGGATGCCAAACTTCTGCCTACAGTGGGCACTAGACCTTAACTAATATGGCCTCCCACTCCAACTTGGTTCCTCTGCTTCTTGGCCAAGGTTGGCGTAGTGGTGCTGGATGTGGACTCAGAACTGTCAAGTCCTGGATTCAAGTGTGGGTTTCCATCTCATCTGTTGTTTCGCCTTCTACAAAGTTAAAAGAATCATTACCTCCCAGTGTGATGCAAGGTAATCCTACTACTAATATTAGTAAATCCACAAAAATACTCCCTATTATTACATTTTCTCTTGGGAAGGGTTGTATTCTCAGCACAACAGTGCGGACCATTCCCTGTTCTTGATGGTTGACGACAAGCCTACCCTGCACCCCCTTATTGGGGTTTTGATGCATCTGGTTTGGTGTCTGACAGCTTGGAGAACTTGCTTGTTACCACTCCGGGGATGGTTGCTGCTTGTCATGTTTTAGGACATAGCTCCTGGTCCCCATTAATTTGGGTGTGTTATTAGTTAGAAATGGCTAAGAAGACAACAGTTTCTTTCATTAGGTTTATTTCATTAGATGAGAACTGAAATGTAGAAATATTTTGATGAAATTCTAGGCACATAGGAGGAAGCTGGTCTTGATTTTATTTATTTTTGAGAGAGAGTAAGTGAGCAGGGGGAAGGGCAAAGGGAGAGGGAGAAGTAGACTCTCTGCTGAGCAGGAAACCCCATGGGGGGCTTGATCCCAGGACTCCGGGAATGACCCAAGCTGAAAGCAGATGCTTAACTGATAGAGCCACCCTCCAGTTGGAATTTCTAAAGCATATCCATAATGCTAGAATTCAGGGACCTTAAGTCCAGTTGACTTCCTATAACATCCCCCGAGGCACAGCTGGTGTTGGAAACATACAGAATTCTACTACTGCTTTTCTGAAGACACGGTCTGAATAGCAAGGTTTACTTTTTTAAGCAATCCATTAATGCTGTGGTAATTCCTAGTGTGGATTTGGGAAAATCATTCTTAGGACTATTTGATATAACTAGAAGTGGTTAGCAGTAATTACGTTTCCTAAAATACTGACTTTCCTTCAGTTAATGAAACATTTATATGCTGACACCTGCATCAAATTAAAGTCTGGCATGCCTTAGTCTCTGTCTACACAGTGTGGTCCAAGACCTGCAGCAGCAGCACCTGGGAGCTTGTTAGAAATGCTGATTCACAGGCTCACCCCAGACCGAATGGTCAGAATCCAGATTTTGAACAAGATGGCTGCTGGCGACTTGAATATCCACTAAAGTTCAAGAACACTGTCCCAGTAGACCTCACCCTCTTTTATTATTTGAGACAGAGAGAATGAGAGACAGAGAGCATAAGAGGGGGGAGGGTCAGAGGGAGAAGCAGACTCCCTGCCGAGCAGGGAGCCCGATGCGGGACTCGATCCCGGGACTCCAGGATCATGACCTGAGCCGAAGGCAGTCGCTTAACCAACTGAGCCACTCAGGCGCCCACTCACCCTCTGTTTTAAAAAGAGATGAGGAAGGCAAGAATTATTTGGTGCTCTTGTCACAGAATAATGAGATTCAGTGAAGCTGCTTAATTAGTAACTTGCTCATCTGTGTAGACCAGCACTAGCCAAAAGAAATAATGAGAGCTATGTGGGAGTTTTAAATTGATATGCAGCTCGTTAAAAAAAGTAAAATTTAAGTAAATACATCCAAAATCAGACGTGAAAAGATACTGAGTTATTCTCCATTGTTTTTCATGATACACCTTATGTGCCTATTACACTGACAGCAACCTCTCCATTTGTACTGGCCACATGTCCAGTGCTCAGTGGCTGCATGTGGCAAGTGGCTACCATATCGATGGAGCAGTTACAGATGAGGATGTGTCCTTTCTACTCCAGGGTGCACTGATTTGCCCAGGAAAGGGGACAGCATCAGGCTTATACACCTGTATGCTGGAGATGAACAGAACAAGACTCCAGGGTCCACCTCAGCCCTCTGGGCTCTCAAAATGACAATTGGACATAAAGTATATGCAACAGAGCATACTCGATTGATTGTTACCATTATTAAAAGGAAGGTACTGGTAAATTACAGGATTATTGATGAGTGCTGTTTCACAGGTGTTATCAGGGTCCACCGATTCTGAAAGTTTGCCTGCTCCCGTCTATCTCCCAAATATATATATATACACACACACACTTTTCCCGAATAGACACCAAGCTCATTTTGCCAGTTGCACAGTATGGGTTTTCCTTCCTCATTCCTGGATTCAAGGAGGATCATAGATCACATTCAATTATTACATTCTTTTCTCCTGAAATCTAGAAACTTCTCAGACTTTTTTTTGGAGAGAGAACAGGCTAGTTACATATAGGAATATACCCCTCAACTTGGTTTTATCTGGTATTTCCTGAGGACTGCCTTCAGGTTATATACTTGGGAAGGTGAGCCAAATAGTTTTCAATGAAGGTACTAGTAAATAACAGGGAAACAGCACCACTACAAGGACTGAAGGGATCTTCCTACCCTCCGATCTCTTACAGGTGCTTCCACTGGCTGAACTTAACAAGAAATGGACAAGCAAAGCAATGCAGGTGAGTTGGTCCTTAGTAGTCAGCCTCTTGGAGCAGGGAGAACAGTACAACAGCACAAAAAATGGATCGTGGTGGGACTGGGAGAAACAGGAAATCACAATCAGGAAAGAAAGCAGGGTGAGCTTTCCAAACACAGGAAGTAGAACATGCAAAGGCAATGAGGTGTCAAAGGACAAAAGTATTAAAGAACATTGTGGACTGTAGTCAGTGAGTCTAAGAATATTGCATATCAAACTAAGGACTTTGAAATTGATGCTACTGACAAATATTTTTAAGCAGGAGCATGACATGATCAGATTCGTGTTTGGGAAAATAGCTCTTGGTGGCAAGAGAGCAGAAATGCAATAGAAATTGAAGTCAGGGGTTTAGTGCAACAGCTCAGGGAAGACAAGAGAAAGGTAGAGGAGAGGGTCCAAGATGCTTGAGGTTTAATTAATAATATAGTAGTATTGGTGATGGCAGTTGCCAGACAGTGGGTCTCTACTCTTTGACAGTAAATTAGATAGCTCATCAATCTTCAGAGCAGCTCCATAAGGCAGGCGCTATTATCACAGTGGTAATTATAAGAAATAAAAATGTTTGAGTGGATGATAATACCAGGAATCTAGGCAGAGAGTATGAAGTTGCCAGCAGGCCACAGCATGAACCTTTACTAGTAAGGCTTCGGAGACTGATCTGGACTGGTGCTGGGTGCTTGGGAGACATCACATTGTTGATGTAAGAGCTGCAATCACAGTGTATATGAGACTGATGAGGATAAATACTGAACAGGAACACTACTCTATGGTAAGGAATGTTCAAAAAAATGTCAGATGTGGCCATTTTTGGTGTTGATATAATTGGCCTCTCCCAAGTTAGTCTCATGGTAACTGTGACTTTCCAGCAGGGCCAGATTTGTAAAAGACACACAGTTTACTACTTTGAAAACAGAAGTTCTGGTTCAACATGGCACCACTGGAAGATCCTGAACTCCCCTTCTCCCATTGACCCACAGAACCTACAGCCACATAAGGAATAATTTGCTCTGAAAAAGAGCTAGAACCTAGCCAAGAACTCCTACACATGAGGCGAAGAAGAAAATAGGTAAGACAGGCTGAGACACCATCTAGCCATGTGACCCACAATCAGAAGGGAATTCAATGCCCACAGCTTGCTTTTTCCTGAGGAGCTGTTTTATATCCCACATCAGGCACCCCAACTTTTGATACCTGCACCTGAGAAACTAGCCCCCTAAACATCTAACTTTAAAAACCAATGTGGCTTGGGGGCGCCTGGGTGGCTCAGTTGGTTGGGCGACTGCCTTCGGCTCAGGTCATGATCCTGGAGTCCCGGGATCGAGTCCCGCATCGGGCTCTCTGCTCGGCAGGGAGTCTGCTTCTCCCTCTGACCCTCCCCCCTCTCATGTGCTCTCTCATTCTCTCTCTGTCAAATAAATAAATAAAATCTTAAAAAACAATGTGGCTTGCATCTAGGAGGTCCATGAGGCTATGGAAATAGTAGTTAAAGGGCTCCTGTGTGCCCGCACTCACCTGTCTCAGGGCCCAGGACAGAAGCAGTCCAGTCTTCATGTGGGGGATGAGGCTCATTTGCTTATTGGAAAGCACCATCTTCAAGCTCACTGGCTGCTGTGATCCCATGGCACGAGTATTTACCCCTGGAAGGCTTTTACATGCATCTGGCACCCCAGTTTTGATGCCTACCAGCCAGCCTCTGCTAGCCCAGGGAGGTTGAGTTCCAGAGTCCTAAAGGACTGTAAGAACCCAAGGCAGTTCTTGGCAGGTGACAACCCCCAGGGTACTGCATAGACAGATGAAAACACAACCTTCCTCTGTGAAAGAAGCCTGTTTGTCATGTAGTTTTGGCCTGAGGGTCAGGTTTGGCACATATCTAGGGGTCTACAGAGGTGTTGTCAGGGAACATAGGCCACTGTCACCCTCAGCCGTGCTCTGGCTCCTTGGTATGTCCCAGAAAGGAGTTTGTGCACTTGTCTGGTGCCTAAATTTTTGCAAATGCCACTGAGAGGACACCTCGAGGTAGCCTGTTTATGGTGGCCAGCAATGCTTATACACCATAAGACAAGAGCATGAATAGAGGTGGAGGAAGAGAGAGAATCTTAAGCAGGCTCCACACTCAGCATGAAGCCTGATGCAGGGCTGGTTCTCATGACCTGATCTGAAACCAACAGTTGAACACTCAAGCGACTGAGCCACCCAGGCACCAGCTTTTTTTTTTTTTTTTAAAGATTTTATTTATTTATTTGAGAGAGAGCACACCAGTAGGGGAAAGTGCAGAGGGAGAAGCAGATTCCCATTGAGTAGGGAGCCCAATGCAGGGCTCGATCCCAGGACCCCAGGATTATGACCTGAGCCTAAAGGCAGATACTTAACCAGGTACCCCTGGGAACAGCCCCAATCCAATTGCTGACTGGGATCCTCCACATCTGGATAATGACAGGTAGTGGCACACCCTCAATGACTGAGAACCACTAAAAATAAAATCTCAAAGGTTTGAACCAAGAGCTAAAAAAAAAAAGTTTAAAAGAGGAGGTTCATCTCCTACCCAAGGCCAGTCCTTCCAGACTGGGAGAGGTAGCTGTTTTATGTAGTGCATGAAAAGAAAAACAAATGCAAAACCTCAGGAAAAAAATCCTTAATGAAATGGAGATGAGTGATGTACCTGATAAGGAGTTCAAAATAGCGGTCATACAGTAAATACCAAAATCAGGAACTTCAAGGAGATTGAAAATATAAGAAAGTACCAAATAGTAGTCACCGAGCTGAATACAAAAGTGAAATGAAAATCATCCTAAAGGGATGCCATGCAGACTGAATGAAGCAGAAGAAAAAGACCGTGAACTGAAAGACAAGGCAGTGAACTCAACCCATCAGAATATAATCAAAAAGAAGAAACAAAAAAATAGCTTAAAGAACTTATGGGACAACACAGGTAGACCAGCACTCAACAGTCACATTATAGGACTGCCAGAAGGAGAAGAGAAAGAAAGAAGCAGAAAACGGACTTGAAAAAATTATGTCTGAAAACACCCCAACTTTGGGGAGGAACAAGAATCCAGATCCAGGAAGCTCAGAGAGTTTCAAGTAAGATGAATCCAGAGCCAAAAGAGAAAAACAGTGTTAAGAATCAGGAACCCAGGGCGCCTGGGTGGCTCAGTCGTTAAGCGTCTGCCTTCGGCTCAGGTCATGATCCCAGGGTCCTGGGATTGAGCCCCACATCGGGCTCCCTGCTCCGCGGGAAGCCTGCTTCTCCCTCTCCCTCTCCCACTCCCCCCGCTTGTGTTCCTGCTCTCGCTGTGTCTCTCTCCGTCAAATAAGTAAATAAAATCTTTAAAAAAAAAAAAAAATCAGGAACCCAGGGGCACCTGGGTGGCTCAATCGGTTAAGTGGCTACCTTCAGCTCAGGTCATGATCCTGTGGTCCTGGGATCGAGCCCTGCATCTGGCTCCCTGCTCAGTAACTCAGCAAGGAGCCTGCTCCGCCCTCTCTGTCAATTAATAAAAATAAAATCTTAAAAAAAAAAAAAAACTGGGAACCCCCAGAGAACTATCAAATCTTTGCAGGCCATGGATGAGTGGCAGGGTATCTTAAAAATCTTCAAACCAAGAACACTTCTATCTGACAAAGTTGTCATTAGAATTGAAGGACAGATACATAGTTCCCAGACAAGCAAAAGCTGAAGAAGTTCATCATCATTTCAAACCTACAAGAAAAGAAATAGCACTAATTAGTAACAAGACCTATGAAAGCATAAATCTCACTGTTAAAAGTAAATATATAGCAAAGGTGGTGGATCATGTATATAACTTCTAAGATCACTTAAAAGCCAGTACAAATTTTAAGACAAAAAGTAAAAATACCATAATTAAGGGAAACATAAAATGTGAGGGAGGGAGTGAAATTCTAAGAGTTTGAGAATGTATTTAAGTCATTATCAACTTGAAATAGACTGCGCTTATAATGAGGCTTATGCACAACTTATATTCATAACAAAGTAAAAACCTGTATACAGTTGTCCCTTGAACAACATGGGTTGGAACTACACAGATCCACTCATACATGGATTTTTTTTTGTGACTATAGTACAGTATACTAAGTGTATTTTCCTTATGATTGTCTTACTATATTCTTTACTAAAACTAAAGAAAAATATTAAGACAATACAACATATGTGTTAATCAGTTATGTATATTATTGGTAACACTTCCACTCAGCAGTAGGCTGTGAGTAGTTAAGGTTTTGGGAAGTCAAAAGTTATATGCACACTTGGAACTACATGAGAGCAGGGGTCAGTGTTCAAGGGTCAACTGTAGATCAACAAAAGATGAACATAAAGGAATCTATGAATACCACTATTGAAAGTCATGAAATCACAAAGGAAGAGAACACAAAAACAAGAGAAAACAAGAAACAAAACAGCAGTAAGTACATACCTTTCTTAATTACTTGAGTACATCTACATTTAAATTCTTCAATCAAAAGACACAGAGTGACTAGACAGAAAGAACAAGACCCATCTCTATTCTAACTATAATACACTCACTTCAGATATAAGGACACACACAGACTGAAAGTGAAGGGATAAAAAAGATGCTCTATGGAAAGGGAAAGGAAACCTGGAGTAGCTGTATTTATATCAGACCAAACAGATCTTAAGACATGTATCCAGTTTTCTATATCCATTTTACAGATGAGGGAATGAAAGCACAAGTTTATGCAGCCAGTGAATAAGGGACATTCAAGACTTCAGATTTTTCTATAGCTATTTTATACAACAACAAAAAAAAGGCCATGTAATGAAAGGCAAAGAAGGGCATTACATAATGCAAAAGGGGTCAATCCAACAAGAGGAAAAATGTATTGGATCCAACAGAGAAGCAGCTAAATACGTAAAGCAAGTATTAACAAACCAAAGAGAAATAGCAATATAATATGAAACTGGAATACCCTTCCCTGATGGATAGATCATCTACACAGAAAAGCA